GGGATATAAATAAACTATTATTATTATTATTATTATTATTATTATTATTATTGCTTGCTCCATCAGCTCCAGGCTCAACACCAATCACTGCTGCATGGGGTTGGTCAGAGGTGAAAGGATACATGGGATATGGTTAGCGGAGGAGACGAAATCTTTAAACCTGAATACGAAATGGAGACATGCTGTGGATAGGAAAATGACCTGTCTGTAGCCGAAGGAGCGATCATTCCATATCCCACCTTCTTCAGACTAGGACAACTAGATCTTCTTTCTCTACTGGGAAGAGCAACCTTTCCCTTGCCATGCAGAGAAATTCCCCCAGGGAAATTACGCCGAGACGGTTAGTGCTGGGAAACTAATAAAAAAGTGTAATTTCATGGCAGCGAAGCCCTAATTAATTCCACCCTCCACTGAAAGGTTTCTGCAATTGTAGTACATTATTATTTCTCCTTAGTTTTTCTTCTCGTGATATGGGTCAAAAAGGCCAAAACATTTCACTGAATATCAGCAGATTTTGTCCGTTTGCAACACATGGATGACTCTTCTGCTCTCTCAGGCGTTGGCCAAATAATTAGGAGTACGCCGGCTACTCAAGGTCAAACACCACTAATGACAAGGAGGAAGTCTAGCTAGAATAAGTCCTCAAGACTTCCTCTAGACCAGGGTGGGGAAACCGTGGCCGTCCAGATGTTGCTGGTCTTCAGCTCCCATCAAGGCTAACCAGTGTCCATGCTGACAGGAGCTGATGAGAGTTTGAGTTCAACAACACCTGGAGGGCCAGAAGATTCCCCTCCCATGCTTTATCCTTTTAGGCACGCAAGACAAGAGGACAAGTTTATTTCTGCTTTGTACAATATCAATTCTTCTTCTTCCTGTGGGGATGTTAAGGATAGTAGAAGAGGATATATTGCATAAGTATTATCCTTCCTTCACTCACGCTAGTGAGTGATGTAGCAGAGCAGATTCCCCGCAATACAGCAGGAAGCTAGTTTGCAGATTCGTTTGAATCTCTTTAGTTAAGTAATCCAATCTGCCTTGATCAGACTGGATTATTCCTGGTGTCCCCTTTTATCTCTCTTAAAAGAATAAAGACACAAGAGTCTTTCCTTAAAAGTAACAAGCAGTTTACTCACATCTCAGTTCACAATTTGCTCCCTGAAAGGCAGGCTTTACTTTGTAGTTACATAACAAACTGTGAGTTCATCTCACATGGCGATTGAGCTCATGTGCTGCTGGCTGAGAGCCAGCAGACAGCAAAATTACATTAAGAGAACAAAATGGCTGCAGGAGACCAGCGTGGCAGCAAGCGAGCAGCAAGCAAGAGATGGCGAGCAAGAGAGAGAAAATGGCTGCATCTCGCCTCTTTTATGGAGTCAGCCAGGGCCACGCCCATCTCCCAGGTCACATGCAGGGGGAGGGCGCTTCAGACCAGTAGAACAAGAAGTTACACTGACTGGAGAAGCATCCCCCTGCCTGTGCCCACTCTAGGAAAATAAGGAATGTTGCATTTGGCTGTTCCAATGGATTACATCCCACACTTCCTTGCCACTTCTACTGTAAGAGCTCATGTTGTGGTTTTGGTTGTGGAGCATTGGCTTTAGGGTTTCCAGGTGATTGCAGCAAGCTCCTGTATCCTTAGACTACCAGACTATATCCAGCCATCGTGCTCTGCAGAAGAGGGCCTCCTGCAAATACCATCTCAACAGGAGGTCTGCTCCATACGATATAAGCATTTGAGCATTAGTGTGGCAGCACCTACGCATTTGAACTCCCTTATGCAGCTGATCAGTTAGGCTCTGTTTTCTTTTTCAGCACCATCTAAAAACCTTCCTCTTCCAGAAAGTCCTTTAAGCGGAAATTTTCCTCCCAGTCTATATCTGTACTGGGCTTGAAATGGTTTTAAAGCAGGTACATACTGTGGATGTTTCCATTGTTAATTCACAAATGATTCATCAGTGAAATAATACAACTAATAATGTCGGCTTTTTCTCTCAGCAGGGAAAGAGGTCAAGAACTGGATAAGTTTGCCAACCTTTAACAATCTTTTGAAGAAAACTGCAGAGAGGAGACTTCATCTTAGTTTTTCCCAGGGGAATGTCAGAAGCTCGCTTTTTTATGAAGAAAAGAAAAAATAGGACAGTGGCTAACATATATATCTGGATAGCTTCCAGCTCTGCAATTCTATGATTCTATGTCTCTGGCTCCCTAAAGATGAGGGACAAGTGAAATTCCACAAATGCTGATTTAGAGGACGGAAAACGGGGAGAAAGAACTAAAAGAAAAGGTTTCTTTCAGATTTGCCATGTGACGTAGGATAACCAAGTATAATAATAAATGCAGACGTCACTAACACAAAACTGTGCATTAGCTTTACATTATAGGTGCATTCATTAGAGAAACTGATTTGCAGCAGCTTTCTACGAAGCGTATAAACCAGGCATAGGCAAACTCGGCCCTCCAGATGTTTTGGGACTACAACTCCCATCATCCCTAGCTAACAGGACCAGTGGTCAGGGATGATGGGAGTTGTAGTCCCAAAACATTTGAAGGGCTGAGTTTGCCCATGCCTGGTATAAGCCAAACTGCCTCTGCACACTGGGTGAAATGACCTTTAGGATGCTTTTACACTGGCAAACACTCTGAGCAGGATCGAACCCTGATCTGCTCAAGGACGCGGTGGGGAAAAACCGTGCAGGCATGATGGTTTCCCCAGTGGTTCAGGTAATTTCCATGGGTTCCAGCTGACCTGCATTGTTCATCAGGGTTAAGAAGAAGCAATGCTATATGGTGAGTCTGTGGCCTCAGTTCAGTATCCTGTGAGGAGATTTTATCTATCTATCTATCTATCTATCTATCTATCTATCTATCTATTAGTGGTGCCTCGGGTTAAGTACTTTATTCGTTCCGGAGGTCCGTTCTTGACCTGAAACTGTTCTTAACCTGAAGCACCACTTTAGCTAATGGGGCCTCCTGCCGCTGGAGCACGATTTCTGTTCTCATCCTGAAGCAAAGTTCTTAACCTGAAGCACTATTTCTGGGTTAGCGGAGTCTGTAACCTGAAGCGTATGTAACCTGAGGTACCACTCTATATATATTCCACTTCCCAAGTTGGTTGGTGAAATATTTCCCGTGAATCCTGATAAGAACATTCAAAGAATAAATGCAGCCTGTCCATTATCGGTAGATTGGGCTTCTGACAGTGTAATGCAAACATGTTCGTTTTCATGTGGTTAAAATAAACAGATTGGCTGTGCCCCCTACCGTTTGGAATACACTTGCCTAGCAGCTCTCAGTTTGTCTCAGGTTACTAACTCTTCCTGCTACAATTGTCCTGAGTCTGGGGGAAAGTATGGAGAGGATTTTGAGATGGGCAGAAAAAAAACTTGGATCTGGATTTCGCAGAGAATCCCAGTGGTTTGAGCTGCCCAAACCAACAAGCGGGGGGAAGTCAGGTTGTGGACTCCGACAATTGCCTGTTGCTCAGGCCCCGTAAATGAATGCGCGGCAACAGGCAATGGTGTGTAATTTAGCTCACAGGCTGGCTTAGCCGGTCACAGGTGTCACTGAGATATTCTGAATGCGGAATGCTCAAAACTTTTCACCATGAAATATTGCACATGTGGTACTGTAATTGAGACACACTGGGGAAATCTCCCTAGAGCTCACACTTCCCTATCTAACTGGATTCCTGGCCAGTGTTTTGATTCCAACTGCTGGGTTAGCTTGGAGAGCATGGAAATGCTATCTGACACATGGCCAGCTGACCTTGATACTCGGACGAATTTCATTGTGTGCGGACTGAAGTTTTTTTGGGGGGAAATGGGCCTGTTTCTAGGATTCAATGAAGCTGAGGATCAGTTCATTCAGCCAGCTAAAGTGGGCTGCCGTAAATGTATTGAAGCAGCCCTCCATTCCAAACACAACAGGTAATCTGTGAGCGGGTGGAAGGATTGTGTCGATCACCTGCTCATGAGGCCTCCCCTGAAAAACAAAATAGATTTTCTTTTATCAACTCCAGGGTTAGAACTTTTAAGAAGTCACAATTAAGGTGGAATCTAGACACATTAAGAAATGTTGTGAACGTGTTTGTTTGTTTTAAAAAAAAGTTTTGGAAAATATATTGAACTTGCCATAGCTCACCATCGCCATCTAGTGTCACATTTGTATAATAGGTAAAGGTAAAGGACTCCTGGACAGTTAAGTCCAGTCAAAGGCGACTATGTGGTTGCAGCCCTCATCTCGGATTTAGTCCGAGGGGTGGCACATAAATAATAAATTATTATTATTATTATTATTATTATTACCCAGACCTCACATATCCTTCAACTTTCCTCAGATGCAAATAGGGACATTGCTCACTCCATTCCCCAACTGACCCTCCCTTACCCCCAATTTTTGTCCCTCTCCCATGCAGAGCATTTCCACCACTAACAGGACACAATAGGACACAGCACGCACTACCCTCCATCATCCTGAGAAAACCCATTAATCCTTATTCCATTCCATTCCATTCTTTGGTAGATTTACAAAAATAAAAGCACACTCCTTCCTTCCTTCCTTCCTTCCTTCCTTCCTTCCTTCCTTCCTTCCTTCCTTCCTTCCTTCCTTGTACACACACCAATATATACACCATTTATTATTGTTGGAATTTTTTGTAAAATACTGAGTGTGCATCGTAAGAATCCTGTCAGTTAATAATACAGTCGTACCTTGGAAGTCGAACGGAATCCATTCCAGAAGTCCCTTCGACTTCCAAAACGTTCAGAAACCAAAGCGCCCCGTCGGACATTCGGCTTCCAAAAACAGTTCGCAAACCGGAACAGTCACTTCCAGGTTTGTGCTGTTTGGAAGCCAAAACGTTCGAGAATTAAGCTGTTCGAAAACCAAGGTACGACTGTAATAATAATTATTTTATTATTTGAACCCCGCCCATCTGACTGGGTTGCCACAGCCACTCTAGATGCTTTGCACTATTAATTGCTATTTATCAAGGGTGAGGAATGCTTACTGCCAATCCTCTCGCAGCTTTGGTAACACGGACAGGCCTGACTAACGGGTGGAGTGACCCTTCAGAGCTCCCCCCCCTTTTTTTGTCACTAATGAATGCCACTCTGCTAATTGGTTTTACCCGAAGAATTATGTAGGATGTTTTCTCCCTGGGCACGTCGTGTTTCTTCGCCTGCGATTTATATCTTGCTTATTGATGCGGGCGTGAACGAATGAAAATACACCCTGGCCATGGTTATCTTTCACACAACGGCTAATCAATCATCTTGCTTGTTGTCGAACTTGCTTCATTCAACCTGCATGCTGATGATATTGCTTAAGGGGGGGCTGATGGGGGGAGGAGAATGAGGTAAGGTAAAAGGTAAAGGACCCCTGGACAGATTAAGTCCTGTCAAAGGCAAATATGGGGTTGCATCGCTCATCTCGCTTTCAGGCTGAGGGAGCAGGTGTTTGTCCACAGACAGCTTTCTGGGACAGCAGGACTATGTGGTATGTAAAGTTGCAGTCAAGTGCAACATTCTGACAGAGGACTAACGGCCTCCATGTTCTAACCGGTTGCTGCGACAACCAGTTTGTTGGTTGCTGGTAGTTAAGAAAGATAACTGCTCAGTTGCAGTCACCTCAGGACCAACTTCCCTCTGGTAGAGTTTATTTGCTTGTTACGTAACCTAAGCCTGCCTTCAGGTAAAGTTAAAGGTAAAGGTAAAGGGACCCCTGACCGTTAGGTCCAGTCGTGGCCGACTCTGGGGTTGTGGCGCTCATCTCGCTTTATTGGCCAAGGGAGCCAGCATACAGCTTCCGGGTCATGTGGCCAGCATGACTAAGCCGCTTCTGGTGAACCAGAGCAGCACACAGAAACACCGTTTATCTTCCTGCTGGAGCGGTACCTATTTATCTACTTGCACTTTGACTTGCTTTTGAACTGCTAGGTTGGCAGGAGCTGGGACCGAGCAAGGGGAGCTCACCCTGTTGTGGGGATTCGAACCGCCAACCTTCTGATTGGCAAGCCCAAGAGGCTCGGTGGTTTAGACCACAGCACCACCTGCTCCATAAATGAGGTAGAGGAAAGAGGCCAGTTCCTAGTTTACATTGGTGCATCTAGCTCAGTAGTCTAGACTCTGCACTGACTGGCAGTGACTTTCCAGGGTTTCAGCCTTACCTGAAGACACCAGGAATTCAACCTAGAACCCTTTTGCATGTAAAGTGTGTGCTCCACCATCGAGATATGGACCTTCATGTTCTATAGGACCCCTGCTATGAATGTTCTAAAGAACCCTGGCTTTCAAAGGACTCTTTGTTGGAGACATCTTCTAGTTCTGTTTGCCTCTGCTAAATGGCTTCATATCTGTTCTTGTATCCAGTCCTCCTCTGCTCCCACCCTACCATGATTCATTGGACTTATCTCTGTCTGCTTCAAGGAAGCTACCTTGAATGGAGTCAGACATCTGAAGGCAACCCTGTATTGGGAAATTCTTAAACATCTAATGTTTTACCATTTTTATGTGCTGTAAGCTGCCCAGACTGGCTGAGGAAACTCAGCCAGATGGGTGGGGTATAAATAATAAAATTATTACCATCATTATTATTATCATTGCTCTGTCCTGCCAACATTGATTGGAAGTGGCACTCCAAGATTTCAGGTGGAGAATCTCTCGCAGCCAGGGATTGAATTTGGGGTCTTCTGCATGCATAAAAGTTGCTCCACCACAAACGGCAGCCCTTCCATGTATCTTGCTGCCAGGGATTAAAAGTACAAACTGAGTTTCATTTTTCAGATTGCTCCAGAAAGCGTGAATTAGGTAGGATCACCTTTAAACCAAATTGATTTTCTCCTCCAACCCTAGTTATCTTCATGAACTTGTCTGTCATCCTTGGGCAGGGGCCGTGCCAACCTGCACCATCCCAGTGTTTGCATCTATGCTGCCAAGGCATGTTTCATCCAGAACATGGAGTAAAGGCATCTCTGATTAAGGCCTCCTTGCATGGTTCCGTTTTGCCTGAAATCCTATTCCGTCTTTCCACAAAAGTTTTTTCTTCTTCTCTCTTTCTCTGTTCTGTTCATAAATTTAATTCCCAGCCCTGGGATTTTTGTCTTGCTTTTTTTTTAGTTCTGATGAGAGTGAACAGCTGGCTTGTACTGTGGATTTTGTTGACAGCATTCAGTTGTTACTCTTTTTTTTTTTGGTCAGACGGAGCCTGCGTCGCTTTGTCTGGCTACTGTCTGACATGTCAACTTACACACTGCTCCAGCCCCCAGCTGTTGCCTCCTTTCATGCTATGGATCGCACTTTGCATTAGATTTAAACGTGCCTTCAGAAAATAGTAATAATAAAAATGTCGGCAGAGCTGATCAGTTGCCACAGCAACCTGTAAAATGGGAGAAATCTGATCCTGGAGCAGCCAAGAACTTTGTTGGAAAGGATTTCTGCATATGCATTTGAGGGCACACTTATCGGCCCATCTTGAAAGTGATCATAATGGCAGCTGAAGAGGCACTGCTTTGAACACTGAAAATGCAATGAAAACCTTGATTTACTTAAGGGAAAAACACAACTTCAAAACCCCGTTAAACTTTTGATGTGTGTTACAAAGACTTTGGGAAGTGTCTCGACACAACATTTTGCCTCCAAGGATGGTGGGACAAATGAAAGTAAAAGAAAGAATAGATAATTCTGTTGTTGTTTTTTACTTCTGTTCACGCTATTTTTCCTTGTTGTTGTTTAGTCGTTTAGTCGTGTCCGACTCTTCGTGACCCCATGGACCAGAGCACGCCAGGCACTCCTGTCTTCCACTGCCTCCCGCAGTTTGGTCAAACTCATGCTGGTAGCTTCGAGAACACTGTCCAACCATCTCGTCCTCTGTCGTCCCCTTCTCCTTGTGCCCTCAATCTTTCCCAACATCAGGTTCCAGGGAGTCTTCTCTTCTCATGAGATGGCCAAAGTATTGGAGCCTCAGCTTCACGATCTGTTCTTCCAGTGAGCACTCAGGGCTGATTTCCTTAAGAATGGAGAGGTTTGACTCTCAAGAGTCTCCTCCAGCACCATAATTCAAAAGCATCAATTCTTCAGCGGTCAGCCTTCTTTATGGTCCAGATCTCACTTCCAGACATCACTACTGGGAAAACCATAGCTTTAAATATATGGACCTTTGTTGGCAAGGTGATGTCTCTGCTTTGTCATTGCTATTTTTCCTTAACTGAGACCAATTCATACTTGGCACAGTGTCTGATTGCGCAAACAACTTCACCAATATATTTTCTTCAGGTTTCCACCATTGATTTTCCAATTTAACTGAGCAGCCTGGAAGCCACTGTGGAATGTATCTTCCTTGGACTGCTTGGACGGCAATTACCCTAGGAGAGGCAAATAAGAATGCCCTGGGGTGGTTTCCGGTTAGCATGGCAGGCACCCCATCCAATACCCTCATCTCACTATGGAACGGTCAGATGAGAAGAGCTATCAATGTGGATCATCCTGAGCACCCTCTCCAGCTCTGTGGAGTTCAGCTGTCTCATTGCTTTCCAGGAGAGTTTCAAGCGATGAAACTGGACCACAGCTTGAGTTGAAGATGGGAGGTGGAGCAAGCTTGTTTTCTTCTGCTCCGAAGGGTGGAACCTGAACCCACAGCTTCAGGTTACAAGAAAGGAGATTCCAACTAAACATCAGGAAGACCTTTCTGATGATGAAAGTTGTTTGACAGTGAAACGGTCTCCTTTGGGAGGTGGTGGAATCTTCTTCCTTAGAGGTTTTAAAGCAGAGGCTGGATGACCATCTGTCATGGATGCTATAGTTGACATTCCTGCATGGGGTGGGGTTGGACTTGATGACTCTTTGGGTCCCTTCCAACTCTACATTTCTGTGATTATCAGTCAGGGGACTCTGGATCTGAGAAGTAGATAAACAACCTATTCTGGAAGGGGTTGTTCTTCCTGTGAATGACCAGGTATGTAGTCTGGGGTACTCCTTGATTCAACTTTGACACTGGACACCTAAGTTGCTGCAATGATCTGGAGTGCATATTTCCACTCCATGCCCAAGTGAGCTCCCAATTAGACTACTATGATGTGCTCTGCACGGGGCTGCTCCTGAATATATATTGCTGCTAGTGCAAAATGCGGCCGACAGAGTTTTGACTCATCAAGGCGATGTGAGATCATATAGCACTATAGTCCTTAAAGATCTGCAGTTCAAGGTGATGGATTTGAGGTATAAAGTCCTAAACAGCTTAGGACTCAGCTACTGTCCTGAGCATGGTTTCAGATTCCACCACCAAGTGAAATCCAGGCTACTCATGGTTCCCACACCACTAAGTTAATACCAGAAAGGACCAGAAAGGATTGTTCAATGCTTGGCCCTTATTTAAAGCATCATTGAGAAGTTGTGAGGGGATACAGAAGTTCTCTCTGTGGTCTTGACAGTGATGAGTCCTTCACACCACCAACCTTTTAGCATTCAGCACATGATGAACCAGCATGCATTTATTGACTGGAAGACAATTATCAAAATGAGCTAAGCGATTTTACACAAAGTACAGAGAAAGCAATCTTCAAGGTTCTTTTTTTTAAAAAAAATGGAGCCATTTAATGCTCAACAATGCGTCTTTGTTTTGCACTTAAATCCCCACTAAAGCTCCTAGTTGCAAAAGTTAAATCGTGAGATTTCCCCTCCCCTAACTAATGATTTCACCATTTTTTAATGGGAGAACAGGGCTGTTACACGTGTCCTCATTTTCACCTGTGAAATGGGTCCAGGCCAGGAGGCAAGGCAGAATTAGCTAGGTTTGGAAACAAGAAGACAAAGGGCAGGATTCCCCTACTGAGCTCTGTTAGGGGCTGCCTTATACTCCATATATCGTTTGCTTTCTGAGCAGGATATATACATCTTTACTGAATGTCCACTTATTAGGGTTTTAGCCTTGTTTTAAATGCATGTGTTTTTGTGTGTTTTTTCAACTGTTTTTAATTATTGTTAGGTGTAAATCACTTTCACATGGTGGTTTAGAAGGTGATTAATAAATTATTTGTAATAATAATAATAATAATAATAATAATAATAATTTCAGTACTGTCTACACCAGGTATCTTTGACCTTTTAGACCCACAACCCACTTTTAACCCAAACATTTGGGGTTCTGCTTTCTTAATCTTGCCTGGTGGTAGTGCTTGGATTAAGCCATAACCCCCGAGGGAGCGGGTGGCGATGTGGTCTAAACCACGGAGCCTCTTGGGCTTGCCGATCAGAAGGTTGGCAGTTTGAGTCTGCCCAATGTGGTGAGCTCCCATTGCCCTGTCCCAGCTCCTGTCAACCTAGTAGTTCAAAAGCAGACCAGTATGAGTAGATAAATAGGCACCTCTCTGGCGGGAATGTAAATGGTGTTTCTGTGTGCTCTGGTACTCGGCAAGATGCTCTGCCATTGAGTAATGGGCCTTCCCCAAAAACGGACTGGAAAAAAAAATCTTCTCTGTCCCTAAACACCCCAGATCTGTTTGTTAAGCATACGGCATCAAGCCTTGAGGCATGTGACCTGACAGAGCATTGGTGCAATGTGTTCCCACCACAACCCCAGAGGACTGATTTTTTAAAACCCCAAAGTTTTCATTGAAAGATTCTCCTCTAAACCAAGAAGCCATTAGCGGAGGTTATCAGAGTTTACTAAGCAGACTACCTACCTACTCAAAGGCAAGGCTGTCTTATCCTGAATGCGCATTTCCTATAGACGCTCAAATAATACACAACACCAATTAGCATTAATGAGAGCTTAAATCACCCCATGCTGAGATACGAATATATATAATAAGCACTGTGAGCTCGAGGAGGAAAATGTGTTGAGGTAAATCTAAATGAGGAAATGGTAATGCAGATCAGAAATGGTGGTATTTGTAGACCTGGATAACAAACCACAGAGAGGGGAGCAAAAGGCATCTGCTGGCAGAAACTTCAAGCCAGGGCTGGATCCAGGTTTGAGGGAACACATGGCAAAGGGCCCTCCAGCAGAACCTGCCTACATCAGAGGGTCTCCTGTCAGGAGAAGGGTTGCAGCTTAGTGGTAGAGCATCTGCTTTGCATACAGAACGTCCCAGGTTTGATTCCCAGCATCTCCAAGTTGGACTGGGAATGTGTCGGGTCTGAAATCCTGGAGAGCCAGCACCCGTCAGTGTACAAAATACTGAGCTAAATGGACCGTTGAAGCACTAAGAGCGGTAGTCTGATAATCTGGGGAACCGGATTCGCGTCCCCACTCTGCATGCAGCTGCTGGGTGACCTTGGGCCAGTCACACTTCTCTGAAGTCTCTCAGCCCCACTCACCTCACAGAGTGTTTGTTGTGGGCGAGGAAGGGAAAGGAGAATGTTAGCTTCTTTGAGACTCCTTCGGGTAGTGATAAAGCGGGATATCAAATCCAAACTCTTCTTCTTCTTCTACTATAGCCAGCACCAGGTAGATAGGTGGCAGGGGTTGCCATTTTAATTTCCCACAATGCACTTCATGTAGGCACTGTGAAGCCCTGAGCTGGCTCAACCAGTGCAGGTCAGAGCACATGAAAAAGCATAGCTAGGTGGCTCCAGATCAGGCCTTTTCTGGTGGGCACTGCCAGGGTGCAAATATCTCACAGACAAGAGGTTATCTCGGGCTTTACTGATCTGGCACCCTACCAGATATTTGGACTACCAATATTTGGCCCACCGAACCCTATAGCACTCTGCCTCCAACAAAGTTTGAGAAGCCAGGCATCACACAGCAGCATGGAAATGGACCAAAGGACTTCTGAAAACATTCCTTCTGTCTTTGGAAAGGCTTTACTCCTGTCACAGAGCTAAAATGCCCAGAGTGGTTCAACAATCAGTCCCTCTTTCCGGGGAACATTGTAGCTCCCTGAAGGGGAATTGGGGATCCACTATTTAATCTCAGAAGCCTTAACAAACTACCATCCCCATGTTTCCATACACTCCAAGTGTCCTCATTTTCCAGGAACAGTGCTGGTACAGTGGTACCACAGGATGCGAACAGGATCCGTTCCGGAGCCCCGTTTGCATCCAGAAGCAAACGTAACTAGCGATGGCATGTCTGCACACGTGTGCGTCGCTTTTTGCCGCTTCTGCGCATGTGCGTGACGTCATTTTGAGCGTCTGCGCATGCTCTAGCAGTGAAAGCCGGAAGTAATGTGCTCCGTTACTTCTGGGTTGCCATGGAGCGCAACTCGAACGTGCTCAACATGAAGCATATTCAACCCGAGGTATGACTGTATTGTAGAAGCCTTCTCGGTTTCGGATCTGATCCTGGAATGCCCTACTTTCTCTTTTTCCTCCGCGCCATGTCTCAGAGACCAATTAAAAGTGTGTGCAGTGGTGGAGAAACCCTCTCTGGCATCCGGGGCAGGATGCCGAGGGTGGGGCAAACTGCCCGGTGGTGCATGCATGACATCCGTACGGACTGCGCACATGTGGCATCCCCTATGGACTGCGTACATGCAGCATCCCATACGGACTGCACACATGCGGCAGCCGTGAGGTCGCCATGCGAGAAGCAGCCCATACGGACGCCCATATGAATGGCGCACGAGCGCGGCAGCCCATACGGATGCTGCGCAAGCGGCGCCCATGCTAACTGCGCACTCACCCTTGGCTGTTCTACAGCTGGGGGGAGGCAGCGGGCCATCTTGACACCCCTCCGAGTGGTGCCCGGGGCGGAACCGCCCCCTCCATCCCCCTTCGTATGCCCCTGAGTGTGTGTGTAGGTGCAAAAAAGGGAGTCCCATTTATACTGAAAATAAAATACCTGCACAGAATGAAGGAAATGGCGAAGCTGGCATACAGAGCCCTTCCTATAATTTTGAAGGAAAGGATCACCAATCCACTTTAAATTCTTTCACTGTAATGCTTCAGCAGCCAGCCATTTCGTAGGAAACATGGGGGAGTGTTTATTCCTTAATTGTACATGGAGACTTACACTTCTGCTCAGAAGGAAGTCCCACTGTATTCAATGGAGCTTACTCACAGGTAACTGGGTAAAGCCTGGGCAGCCTTACACTGCAATCTCAAGCATTTTTACTCAGAACTATGTCTCACTCAGTTCGATAGGATTTACTCTCTGGTATGTTCTTGACACGGGTAGCGCTGTGGGTTAAACCACAGAGCCTAGGACTTTGCGACCAGAAGGTCGGCGGTTCGAATCCCTGCGACGGGGTGAGCTCCCATTGCTCAGTCCCTGCTCCTGCCAACCTAGCAGTTCGAAAGCATGTCAAAGTGCAAGTAGATAAATAGGTACCGCTCTGGCAGGAAGGTAAACGGCGTTTGCTTGCGCTGCTCTGGTTCGCCAGAAGTGGCTTAGTCATGCTGGCCACATGACCCGGAAGCTGTACGCAGGCTCTCTCGGCCAATAAAGCGAGATGAGCGCCGCAACCCCAGAGTCGGCCACGACTGGACCCTTTACCTTTTATGTTCTTGATCACTCAAAATTTCCATCAACATCATCATCATCAGTGCCAACCTGAATAAAATATTGGGGGGGGGCAGGTAAGCCCCACCCCACACAATCAATCACATGACACGGTGCACATACACTATATGAATGGCAATGCCCATCAACTTTGGGGGGGGGGCAGCTCCCTCAAATATTTTATTGGGGGGCAAATCCCCCTAGGCCCCTAGAAGTTGCCTCCTATGATGATGATTTCCCCCCCATCTTTATCCCTGACTGGGACTCAAGGCAGCTTGCTGCTAAGATCTTATTTCCTCCTATTGATCTGTGGAAGGTGCTGCAGATATTTTATTGACGACAATTCTGTGTGGTCAGTTTGGCAGAAAGGTTGACATTGGCTCCACTGACCGATGTATATGTGTCTATGGTGTCTATGGTGTAGGACAGAATTTCCCTGTTTTGATCTGAGGAATGTTGGAGGGCACAGGCTTCTTGTTTTGCAAGAGGTGGAAGGCACGACTTTCAAAATGGTTTAGAGGGGCTTTAAATGTATGTTGTGGATGCGACCCTGAACTCTCTCCTGACACATACGTTTGTAAGGAGGTACATTTACAACAAAGCAGGTACAGCCCAGACGTAGGCTTATCTCATCAGTGAAAACTAGGTCAAAAGAAAACTCAAAAGCGACTGTTCAGAGGAGAGAGAGAGGACTATATGTGTGTGCGTCTTCAATAACTGTAGAGGCAATTAGTTCAGTGGGCTGTAAAACAACAATCATTTGAGATGGATTTCTGTGTGCCTTTTCATATTACAGTTTTCATCCGCTGCTTTATTTTCGTAGCCACTCTGATATCTTAACATCGTTTTTTCCCCTACTAGAGTCATTGCCAAACATTTGAAAATGTTATAGAGAAAGGCAAAAATGCTTGGTGCGTCACACGTACAAATATACACACGCATACTCTCCCTACTCGACACCTTTTCCAGCCCTCCGGCTAATATTTTTTCAAATGTTAATGGTGCTTTTTACAATTGTATGAGGTTCGGGAAGGAAGAAACACATCGTCTCATGAGAGGGATAAGATCGGGATCTTTTTTTAAAATACTAGAGCTGAGCAGACATTTTTCAAAAGACGCTTTTTCTGGGATCATGTCTTTTTTTTCTCCCTGCCCCCTCCCTAGAAAAAGAAATATAGGAATACAGGAAGAAGGGGTGAATTTAGGGCAGTGCAACCGGTTCCTCCTCACTGTGTGCTGAGCCTAGGGGGTGCTGCAAATACGATGTAGTGATTTGAGCAGAACTGAAGGTGAGAGGCAAGGGGTGCCCTGAATTTTGGCCTTGCATAGGGCGCTGGTGAAATTTGAAAGACCAAAGTCTGCCCCTTCAGAAAGGTGTCTACTACCAACTCAGCCATTGGTCTATCTAGCTCAGTCTTGTCCACACTGACTGACAGTGGCTATCCAGGGTTTCAGGCAAGGGAATATTCCCAGCCCTACCTGGAAATGCCTGGGATTGAACCTGGGATTGAACCTGCGGCCCCTGAGCTATGAACCTTCCCTACATCGGTCCAATATACCCGAAGGAGCGTCTCCACCCCCTTCGTTCTACCCAGACACTGAGGTCCAGTGCCGAGGGCCTTCTGGCGGTTCCCTCACTGCGAGAAGCCAAGTTACAGGGAACCAGGCAGAGGGCCTTCTCAGTAGCGGCACCCACCCTGTGGAAGGCCCTCCCATTAGATGTCAAAGAGAAAAACAACTACCAGACCTTTAGAAGACATCTGAAGGCAGCCCTGTTTAGGGAAGCTTTTACTGTTTGATGGAGTCCTGTATTTTAGTATTTTGTTGGAAGCCGCCCAGAGTGGATGGGGAAGCCCAGCCAGATGGGCGGGGTATAAATAATTTATTATTATTATTATTATTATTATTATTATTATTATTATTATTGTGGTACCTCGGGTTAAGTACTTAATTCCTTCTGGAGGTCCTTTCTTAACCTGAAACTGCTCTTAACCTGAAGCACCACTTTAGCTAATGGGGCCTCCTGCTGCCGCCATGCCACCGGAGCACGATTTCTGTTCTCATCCTGAAGCAAAGTTCTTAACCTGAACACTATTTCTGGGTTAGCGGAGTCTGTAACCTGAAGCGTCTGTAACCTGAGGCACCACTGTATTATTATTGCATTTCCCCTGAATATTCACCATTTCTTTTTCTTTTGGTATGGTTTAACCATCAATCCTTCTTCCCAGGCAAACTCTGGGAATCGCAGTGCTGAGTGGGGAACAGGGGTCTCCTAACAGCACTCAACACCCTTAACAAACTGCAGCAATCAGGATTCTTGGGTGGGGGGGGGAAGACTTCGGCCAGGGATGTAGGAAGGGGGGCGGGGGGCACCCCAAGTATCACCATGGAGAGGGTGACAAATTATCAAGGAACAATTACTGCCCTACTAGGGCAGTTCATGAAAAACCTTTTTTTAAAAAATGCCTGTTTCAAAGGTCTTATTGTCATGGTCCGGTCTACGGGTGATCGAAGACCCTGCTGAGGATGTTGGGACCGGGGGCAAGATGGTGGGGTGGGAGCAGGAATGAGAGTCCAGAAGCCAGGAGTCAGGAAGCCAAGAGTCCGAGGGTCAGGAAGCAAGGAGTCATGAAGTCAAGGGTCCGAGGGTCGAGAAGCAAGGAGTCAAGAAGCCTAGGTCCGAGGATCAGGAAGCAAGAAGCCAAACACAGCAAGGCAGGAAACGTGTTGTTGTGGCAAAGAGCCAAAGGGAAATGCTGACCTTATATCCCTTCCTGGTTCTTGCCACAAGGTTACCAAGCGGCCTCACCTGTGCGGCCGCATCTTGCCTCTCCAGAACAAACTTAGGAAGGCCGCAGTCCTGCGAAGCCCTACTGGTCACAGGGCCTGGCTCCTGCAGGCACTCCTGACACTTATCTTACACCACTAGGGATTATATAGTTATATATGAAATTTCATGCATACAAGTTAATATCTTGACCCTCCTCCACAAAAATAGCTGTTTACTTGGCCGTATTCCTATGTCGTGAAGGGTGAAATTTCAATTCAGTGGAGCAGGGTCAAGATATACACATAATATCTGTACTTACTGTGACAGCACCTGCACTTTGGAACTCCCCGCCTATTGCAACAAAGCACGTGCCTTTGCTAGACTCTTTTCGGGCAGCTGCTCAAAGCATTCTTCTTTAGGCAAGCAATCTTAGATGCTTAGGAAGCTGAAGTAATTTTAATCTTAATATTTTAGCTTTTGTATGTTTTAAAGTAGGATTGTTATTTTTTCTTGATTTTACTGCTGTGCTTTTTTGTTTGTTTTGGTGAACCACTTTGCAGGTTTTTAAAAATAAATTTTATTAAATAAATAAACAATAAATATAAATAAAATAACACAAGCCAAAACACAAGCCATCCTGTAGATTTAAGTATCTGTCCACAGCCGCCTACTTGTTATCAGAGGCCCAGAATCCACATTCCTTTGTAAGAAAATATGAAATAACGTAAAACCATTTTTGCAGGCAAAAGAAATCACTGTGGGGGGAGGTGACAAAGAAATTTTCCGCACTGGGTACCACCTGCCCTTCCTATGCCTCTAGCCTTGGCTGCATTAAAGTGGTATGATACTGCTTCAAATGTCTAATGCAGATGGGATGTTGGATGGTGTGAAAGTTTGGTGTTTGTACCCGCCCAAAGCAGAAGAAGAAGAAGAAGAAGAAGAGGAGGAGGAGGAGGGGGAGGAGGAGGAAGAAGAAAGGGTGGTGATGAGGAAGAGAAAAGCCACATTGGCTATAATTTACTTCATTTGGGTCTTTTCTCAGGGCTTCCTCTTTTGCTACAAACATTGAGCCGGCTGACAGAACATCGCTAAATAGGAGGCGGCTTCTGCTGATGGATGCTATGGCAGAATCGCCGCATGTTTATCTACTTAACAGCCCCGCAGAGTTGCCAAGTTCTACATCGTGCACTGATCTTGCTGCGAGGCAGAATTTATACCTCCCCATTTGGACAGTCTTAATTTTTTCCTTCTGCCAAGAGGAAGACAGCGTATTCACAAAGGCGAGAAAGAGAATTCCTGCTAAAAATGGAATACTCTTGGATGTGTATGTTTTTCCTGCCTGCTCTTTACTTCTCCGGTATCAGACATGAGTTTTGGAAGTCATTTGGAACCGTAACAGGAGCATAATGGGCCTTGCCTTAAGTGCATTTTTTTGTGTGTGCTATGAAATCTGATGGCCTCTCCTTCTTCTCTGGCCCTATAAATTCCCAAGGCAGCTTCCCAGAAAGGGAAAAAGGGATCCTGCAGGAGTCTACGCTGTGCAGCAGGGATTGGGAACCTGTGGCCCTCCAGATGTTGTGGTCCATTGGATTGCTTGCCCACCTTTCATCCAAATTTTCCAGGGAGCGTTGCAACAATATAAAAATGGAAGATTAAAACCAGCTCAACCATGCTTTGGTTGAGATTCCTGCATTACGGGGGGTTGGAACGTTAACAACTTAGGACCATCATGTACCCTCTCATCTGCTTTGATCTGTGAAATTGGATCTACTACAGGTGCCACAATAATACCCATTCCACATTTGTAATAACTCAGTCATTTAATATGGCAGTGGTTACACTTTGGAACTCCCTGCTTATTGAGATCAAGCAGGCATCGCCACTGTACTCTTTTCGGTGCCGGTTAAAAACATTATTGTTTAGACCTGCCTACCCAGGCCCTAAGACACGGGTGGCGCTTTGGGTTAAACCACAGAGCCTAGGACTTGCCGATCAGAAGGTCGGCAGTTCGAATCCCCGCGACGGGGTGAGCTCCCGTTGCTCAGTCCCTGCTCCTGCCAACCTAGCAGTTCGAAAGCATGTCAAAGTGCAAGTAGATAAATAGGTACCGCTTCAGCGGGAAGGTAAACGGCGTTTCCGTGTGCTGCTCTGGTTCGCCAGAAGTGGCTTAGTCATGCTGGCCACATGACCCAGAAGCTGTATGTCGGCTCCCTTGGCCAATAAAGCGAGATGAGCGCCACAACCCCAGAGTCGGTCACGACTGGACCTAATGGTCAGGGGTCCCTTTACCTTTACCCAGGCCCTAAGAGAGTTGAGGTCAAATTAATCTGTATTCACATTTTACAGTATTTTAAAGACTTTGTTTCCTGTCTTGCCAAAGGCTTATGCGTGAGGTACTTTCTAGAGGGCTTTTCACTGCTGGTTAAATTATTTTACTTCCATGGAACAGAGGGGAGAAACAGGGTGTTTTTGAGCCCAATTTCTCTGCATGTGGGGAAAGACTATAACAGGGGTCAGCAAACTTTTTCAGCAGGGGGCCGGTCCACTGTCCCTCAGACCATGTGGTGGGCCGGACTATATTTTGAAAAAAATATATGTATGAATTCCTATGCCCCACAAAAAGCACACATTCTACTCATGTAAAAACACCAGGCAGGCCCCACAAATAACCCAGAGATGCATTTTAAATAAAAAGGTACATTCTATTCATGAAAAAACACGCTGATTCCTGGGCTGTCTGTGGGCCGGATTTAGAAGGCGATTGGGCCAGATCTAGCCCCTGAGCCTTAGTTTGCCTACCCATGGACTATAACATATGTATGAGAGCCAGTGTGGTGTAGTGGTTAAGAGTGGTGGACTCGTAATCTGGGGAACTGGGTTCGCGTCTCCGCTCCTCCACATGCAGCTGCTGGGTGACCTTGGGCCAGTCACACTTCTCTGAAGTCTCTCAGCCCCACTCACCTCACAGCGTGTTTGTTGTGGAGGAGGAAGGGAAAGGAGAATGTTGGCCACTTTGAGACTCCTTCGGGTAGTGATAAAGCGGGATATCAAATCCAAACTCTTCTTCCTCTTCTATGTAATAGCTCAGTTGGCTGGACCAGTGTTTTTCAACCACTGTTCCGTGGCACACTAGTGTGCCGCGAGATGTTGCCTGGTGTGCCGTGGGAAAAATTGAAAAATTCGAAACATTAAAAAAAATTAAAAATTCAAATTTTCACCCACTAGGCGGGCGCCGGACTGTGTCCTGGGTATGGGGTGGGTGGGGTTTTTGACCCCACCCTCGGCCAGCAGGGGCGCCGATTGGCGCTCCTCAGGGGGACACCCTCTACTTTTCTGATGTCTGGGCTGTGATTGGTCCAGACTCCAGCCTGGACCTATCACAGTAGGACATCATCTTCTGACTTCCTTCCCGCCCGAGCACAGTGTGCGCAGCAGCGGAGAGAAGAAGACATCGCGACTCGAGTCACCAGGAGGACCGGAGAAGTTGTCATTTTATTTCTCTTCAGTCTCCACTGAATGCCTTGACTGGGTTAGGGACCCTTATAGCTCAGCATCAGTTGGTGGAAAGGACATGACTTTACAGGAGCAGGAGGAACTAACTGAACTGAGACAAAATCGTGGTTTCAAGCTAAGATTTGCTGACCTACCTCTGGACAGTTTTTGGTTGGATACTGCCAAGGAGTTCCCCCTTCTGGCAAACAAAGCTATTTTGACATTGCTCCCATTTTCCACTACATATCTGTGTGAGATGAGCTTTTCAAGCATGATTGCTATAAAAACTAAATACAGAGAGAGACTGAGAGCTGTTGACAAAGAGCTACGTGTGTGTCTTTCTTCGATTCCAGCCAGAATATCAGCTTTGTGTTCAGCCAAACAGGCCCAGGTTGCGCACTGAATAAAGTATTTTATAATTTTTCATATTTCTGTTTACTTACTATTTCATAATAAAGTAATTATAAAATACTTTCTTTGTGTTTATTTGATTCCTATTCAAGAGAATTCCTATATATATAGTCAATATAGGCACAGAGTTAAATTTTTTAACATTTTCTAATGGTGGTGTGCCTCGTGATTTTTTTCATGAAACAAGTGTGCCTTTGCCCAAAAAAGGTTGAAAAACACTGGGCTAGAGCATGGTGCTGATAGCACCAAGGTTGTAGGTTCGATCCTGCTTTGCAGGGGATTCGACTAGAAGATCCTTCCTCTGATTCTATGAAGCATATGTGTGCATATTTCAACAGTTTCTTTTTTTTTAGGCTGTTTTAACTTCTATCAATAATTATAATGTATATTTTATGCAAACTGTTTAATGGTTTTATGATTAAACAGTACACATCCCACTGCCACTTTTTTATTTGAAAAAATCTTATTGACACACTTCTTAACATCCTTTCAGATGTTGTTGGGACTCCAGCCCCCATCAGCCCCAGCCAATATAGCCAGGGGTGAAGGATGATGGGAGGTGGAGTGCGACAACATCTGGAAGCCCAGAGTTTCTTCCATCCCTGACTTAAGGCATGTGTCTCCTTCAGGAAGGCCATGAATTACCATTATGGTCCAGACACGCATCATCGCCCTGGTTGCAGCCACAGTTCAGATCCACATCTTGCATGTTTTTCAGACACTATTCATAACGACATTTTCGCAACTGCTGCTTAAAACATTCCTGAGGGTTTACGGAAAAATCACTTTGACTGATTCCTCGAGGGGTATTTCTCTCCCCCTTGAGCGAGCCATGAAAGGGGATGAAGTGACGTGTTCTGCTTTCAGATAAAATCCCTCACGTTTTAAACATCAGGAATCCTTCAACCTCTTTGCTGAGCCCTCACAGAATTCCACACTAGAAACATACACACGTTGTCAGGAAGACTCGACATTCGTGGAGATCGACTTAAAGTGGAATGGTACTTAATTGTGCAATTGCAGTTAGAAGTTGCGAGCAATAATTAACTCTAGGCTGTCACAATACACCCCTTGAAATTTCATACTTTTACTACAAACATGCTGTCTACTTCAGCCTTGCAATGCATGCCAGCAGCTGTCTAGGTTGCTAAAGTGTTTTGAAGGTTCCACCCCCCCAGCACCCCATGACGAGGTGATCTTGTAGATAACCTTGTCTCGGTATTTGTGGTTACATTGTGAAGTTTGTATCGGATAGGTTTTCATGGAAATATTAATAACAGCTTTGTGTTTGACTGCCTAATTAAACCTGCCTCTCTTAAGATGCCATAATTGCACATCCTTTTCCAGCATTTCCACATATCTTGAAAAATAAGCGCACTTCCTTGAGGTGAGTGTTTAAGAGGAATGTGTAACACACACACACAAATTCACACATGGTCTGTATTTGAGAACTTTTGATTATCTTACTGATCACCCAGCCAAGTGGGCAGGGTAGAATAATAATAATAATGTCATTATTTGTAAAAAAAATGATCAATATTAGGCAAATTTGTTTTGCAAAAATGCTTTATATTAGGCAACAATAAGTACAAATATGTGTACATGAGGAGAAATTTGCAATAAATTTCCTGATGAATTTTCACGAGGATTTTAAAAACAAAATTTGCACACTGATCTGGAAATGTGGAGAATTGAGGTTTGGAAAAATGAGAAACTGAGAGAAACTGAAACAGATTGATTTACTCATCCCGACGCCAGATGGATTGTGCATGGGTACTTTTATACGACAAACTAGAGTTGTGCACTAGATCTGCCTGAATCCTAGATCCTGTACCTAATTTGGGTTGACTCAGAATTCCGCTGGATTGGGTTGAGGCAGCCCTGGATCATCGGGGGGTCAGACCAGGTCTGCCCTGTGCAATCCAGCGCTGTCTAATGGGGGGGAGCGATCTGACAGTGTTGAGGGTGGAGACGACACATCGGCACTGTATCTTCCTTATTCCTCGCTTCTAATTAAGTATGTAGTTGGGAGCAGGAGAGGTATAGAATCATAGAATCTTAGAGTTGGAAGGGACCACAAAGGTCATCTAGTCCAACCCCCTGCAATGCAGGAATCTCAGCTAAAGCATCCCCGGCACATCCAACCTCTGTTTAAATACCTCCAAGGAAGGAGAGTCCACAACCTCCCACGGAAAACTGTTTCACTGCCAAACAGTTCTTACTGTCAGAAAGCTTTTCCGTATGTTTAGTTGGAATCTCCTTTCTTGTAACTTGAAGCCATTGGTTTGTGTCCTACCCTCCAGAGCAGGAGGAAACAACCTTGTTCCTTCTTCCATGTGAAAGCCCTTGAGATATTTGAAGGTGGCCATCTTATTTCCTCTCAGTCTCCTCTTTTCCAGGCTAAATATACCTAACTTCCTCAACCCTTCCTCCTAAGACTTGACTTAGAATCATAGAATCATAGAATCATAGAATCATAGAATCATAGAGTTGGAAGAGACCACAAGGGCCATCGAGTCCAACCCCCTGCCAAGCAGGAAACACCATCAGAGCACTCCTGACATATGGTTGTCAAGCCTCTGCTTAAAGACCTCCAAAGAAGGAGACTCCACCACACTCCTTGGCAGCAAATTCCACTGTCGAACAGCTCTTACTGTCAGGAAGTTCTTCCTAATGTTTAGGTGGAATCTTCTTTCTTGTAGTTTGGATCCATTGCTCCGTGTCCGCTTCTCTGGAGCAGCAGAAAACAACCTTTCTCCCTCCTCTATGTGACATCCTTTTATATATTTGAACATGGCTATCATATCACCCCTTAACCTCCTCTTCTCCAGGCTAAACATGCCCAGCTCTCTTAGCCGTTCCTCATAAGGCATCGTTTCCAGGCCTTTGACCATTTTGGTTGCCCTCCTCTGGACACGTTCCAGTTTGTCAATGTCCTTCTTGAACTGTGGTGCCCAGAACTGGACACAGTACTCCAGGTGAGGTCTGACCAGAGCAGAATACAGTGGCACTATTACTTCCCTTGATCTAGATGCTATACTCCTATTGATGCAGCCCAGAATTGCATTGGCTTTTTAGCTGCCGCGTCACACTGTTGGCTCATGTCAAGTTTGTGGTCAACCAAGACTCCTAGATCCTTTTCACATGTACTGCTCTCAAGCCAGGTGTCCCCATCTTGTATTTGTGCCTCTCATTTTTTTGCCCAAGTGCAATACTTTACATTTCTCCCTGTTAAAATTCATCTTGTTTGTTTTGGCCCAGTTCTCTAATCTGTCAAGGTCGTTTTGAAGTGTGATCCTGTCCTCTGGGGTGTTAGCCACCCCTCCCAATTTGGTGTCATCTGCAAATTTGATCAGGATGCCCTTGAGTCCATCATCCAAGTCGTTGATAAAGATGTTGAATAAGACCGGGCCCAAGACAGAACCCTGTGGCACCCCACTAGTCACTCTTCTCCAGGATGAAGAGGAACCATTGATGAGCACCCTTTGGGTTCGGTCAGTCAGCCAGTTACAAATCCACTGAGTGCTAGCATAGTCAAGACCACATTTTACCAGCTTCTTTACAAGAATATCATGAGGCACCTTGTCAAATGCCTTGCTGAAATCAAGGTAGGCTACATCCACTGCGTTCCCTTCATCCACCAGGCTTGTAATTCTGTCAAAAACGAGATCAGGTTAGTCTGACATGACTTATTTTTCAGAAATCCATGCTGACTATTGGTGATCACAGCATTCCTTTCTAGGTGCTCACAGACTGTTTGCTTAATGATCTGCTCCAGAATCTTCCCTGGTATTGATGTCAGACTGACTGGGCGGTAATTATTTGGGTCCTCTCTTTTCCCTTTTTGAAAATAGGGACAACATTTGCCCTCCTCCAGTCTGCCGGGACTTCGCCTGTTCTCCAGGAATTCTCAAAGATGACTGCCAGTGGTTCTGAGATCACATCTGCCAGTTCTTTTAATACTCTTGGATGCAGTTCATCTGGCCCTGGAGACTTGAATACATCTAAACTAGCCAAGTATTCTTGTACTATCTCCTTAGTTATTCTGGGCTGTGTTTCCTCTGCTGAATCATTTGCTCCAAATTCTTCAGGTCGGGCATTGTTTTCTTTATCGGAGAAGACTGAGGCAAAGAAGGCATTGAGGAGTTCAGCTCTTTCTGTGTCCCCTGTTTGCATTTCACCATCTTCTCCTCTGAGTGACCCCACTGTTTCTTTGTTCTTCCTTTTGCTACGGACATACCCATAAAAGCCTTTTTTGTTGCTTTTAACCTCTCTAGCAAGCCTGAGTTCATTCTGTGCTTTAGCTTTTCTGACTTTGTGTCTACACGTGCTGGCTATTTGTTTGAATTCCTCTTTGGTGGTTTCCCCTTTTCCATTTTTGTACACATCCTTTTTTAATCTTAACTCAGTTAAAAGTTCTTTAGATAGCCACCCTGGCTTCTTTAGGCACCTTCCATGTTTCCGTCTCATTGGTATTGCCTGACGTTGTGCTTTTAGTATCTTAACAAACTCCCAGCCATCATGAACTCCCTTTCCTTTTAGTATTACTGTCCATGGGATCTCACCCAGCACTTCCCTAAGTTTTATGAAGTCAGCTTTCTTAAAGTCAAGAAATTGAGTCCTAGTATGCTTGGCTGCTCCTTTCCGCTGTATAGTAAACTTCAGAAGAGCATGATCACTTGCGCCTAATGATCCTTCCACTTCTACCCCACTAACCAGGTCATCAACATTGGTTAGGACCAGATCTAAAATGGCTGTTCCTCTTGTTGCTTCTCCCACTTTCTGGACAATGAAGTTGTCTGCAAGGCCAGTGAGGAATCTGTTTGACCTTATGCTCTTGGCTGAGTTTGACATCCAACAAATATCCGGGTAATTGAAGTCCCCCATTAC